ATCGACTTGGAAAGTTGCATGTTTTACTTGGAAAGTACTCCTGGGCGAATCGCGACAGGTTATTTGAGAACTGACTGCAGGGGGGGGGGGGGGGGGGGGGGGTGCAGGATAGGAGGTGGGTGTGGAGNGCTACGGGTTATTCGAGAAGTGACTGCATTTTCAACGTTTTTTTGATGGTATTTTGAGATTTCATTGGTTTGAGGGGGGGGGGGAGGAGCTGAAGCAAAATGAAAGGTGTGCTGGGATAGAGCTTGTTGAGTTCTACGTGAAAAGTTGTTTGGCTGTTTTGGAAAGTTGTTTGCAGCGAATCCTTTCAAGAAATACTCGACTCCTGACCTAAGATATCCTAAATAATTTGGTTCACATTTCGTGAAGCACTAGAAACAATTACTTTTGACACTAACGGTAACTGTCATCGTATCGAAGTTACAATTTCTATAAGCATTTTTTATCGAAGTTGTTTGTAGGAAGGTGAATACTAAAATAATTGATTATTTGAATAATATTATTACACCTAATAGCTAAAGGTGATTTTTCTGCTAAACAAACGACACTTATTTGATCAAAAATCAGCAATTTACAAGCTATTTAAAAAGAACTGAGACAACACATTTTGTTATCGTTTTACTCGTTTTTACTCTGTTTAGAAAACGAAAAGTTGAATAGTAGAAAAAAGAACGAAATCATTTATGTGCTATAATTAGAAGTTCATGTACAAACTAGCAGTTAGTATAAAATACATGGCCGCTTGTGTACCAAATATTAATCATATAGAGACCAGATTTATAATGTAATTATGAAATTGAAACATATTTTGCAACTGTAACTGTCTAATAACGGAATTATTACAAACAGATCATTTTCAGTAGTAGTATGAATAGATGCATACGCACAAAAAGTGTTCTACAGTTACTCAAAATCTTAATATATAATTTGCTTATTTCAACCTAGAAATACAATAGTGGCGGTGGACTGGTCGATTTCCAAGTAACATTGATCCTAGAGATATTGTAGTTAAAGTTGAAGGTGTTTTTTTTATCAAGAAGTACCTATTGTATGAAAAGAACAGTTTTTTCATACAATGTGAATATGGGTTTTCAGATCTGAGGAAACCGAATTTATAAGTGGTTTCTCAAAATTTGTGAGTTTGTTTTTCTCGTCAACGAAGAGCTGTTTTTCAAAAATAATGGTATATTATAAAACTTGATCAAATAACTTTATGCTAGCAGATGTTCATTGTATAAAAAGACTAGTTTTTTGTTGTACTCTGTATGCGCTTATTGTCTTAATCATCAAACTCACCATTGCATGTCTAATGATTAGACCGATTTTAACAACTTGTTGATGAACGGTTGCAGCTACCTTAGTACGTCTAGAGTAGTGCATCGGTGGTACGGTGGAACGCTGAATTGCCGACATTGTTACTTCCCACCTTCATATTGCGTTCTTTGTTTGGTACATATCAACTTTCTTCTTTTTCTGAATTGCTCGTAGGTTGTTGATTTTTCGATCAAATAGTATCATTTATTTAGCAGAAAAATAAACTTTAGCTATTAAGTGTAACAATATTATTGAAATAATCAATTACTTTAGCATTCAGCTTCCTACAAACAACTTCGATAAACAGAGTAGCTTCGATACGACACGCCCATTACTAACTCGAGCCAATCGAACTACGATTTCATAAATTTCAATATGAATCATATTGAAAGCACGTTTCAAGAAAAGTTAAAGAAATAGTTCGAGTCATGCCAAATCCATTGAGAAATATTATTTTGAATAATATATTTCATCATACTAAAAAGAAAATTTCAAATTTGAAAAATTTTGATTTATACCAAAAACAATCCCATTCACAAAGGGTTAATGAAAGTTAGATGATCTGCTTTTTTTTTCATACGTATTGCTTTCATGCGTTCTGTTGCTATATATAGCCTGTTGTTTTATTGTATTTTCCTATGTTATTCTTATTCAGTCATGCTTTTACAATATACTATCATTTCGTTTATCTAGGGTGTTATTCTTATTCAACAAATAGAAATTCTACTGTACTATTATATATAACTCTTTTTTGGTAAAACACAATTAAGAATGAATCCACCAAACAAATGCATTATGTGCAACGAAAGAGATGTTGGAACTGATTCATTATCATTTTGTCAAGTATGCGATGCTCTAATTGATAAGTCAATCTTGATGTTCAATATGAATGCTGAAGGTGATGAAAAAATAATCCAGTTCTTTAACATGAATTGATTAATGAACTTTTTTTAAGGTGCTCTTTTACTGTATCTTCAACGACCTGAAACTTGTACTCGATGTGGTAAATGTGTTCGAAAAGATGAATATGCTTTGACTAATGATAAAAATAATGTAACTCTTTATTGTTTCCTATTATTTAATTCCGTATATTCATATGTTTTAGTTTTACTGTATTGACTGTGGTATTAATCACAAAATCTTCAAGGAAATCTATATAAGACGAGAAAATTTTGTCATCTGTAACAAGAGAAGTATTAAAAGAATTACAAAAAAAATAAAAAACTTATATGAAACAATAAAGTAACTATCAATAATGACAATAGTTATTATTTAACGTTTTTCTTTCAGAATAAACAGTGATTGCTGAATAAAAAAAAATTTTACACATCAACAACAAGCCAATACTGATGAATGATATCTTGTAAAGCAAAAGTCTTTCTATCTTTTTCACAAATAAACAAAATAGCATAGGCATTAAATTTTGATAATGTTGTTACAAAGATGTATTAAGTTGGTGCTGCTTATTACTCCATCCATTTCATTGATCAATCTTAATGTCTTATTCGGTTGAATTCATTCCAAAATTGTCCATCAATATTATTGATACCTCACTAATTTGATTGAGTCAGCTAACATTTAGTAGAATAAAAATAGAGCGATGATGATCGATCACAGGTGAGATCTTTATCGTTGAAATAATTGAAAAGAAAATTATAGATGACACTCAATCATAAACGATTTTTATTTGAATATGAAAGTTTAATTAATTGAAAGGAACGAAATATAAACTATTTTGTTTTATTGATATTCAAGGGTAAAATCATATTTATTAATATGTGTTTATAATATTGATGCTCTTATTATATTTTAAAAATGAAGTCTAATATCTTTTAAAATGAAAAAAATTATATGATATAAAAAGAATTCAGTAGAGATGGAAGTTAAAAATTGAAGTAGATGTCAATCAATATTCGATATATTAACGTAATTCTCTCTTTTTTATCGTGCCAAATCTTATCAGGTGGTATTTCATTTAGTTATATTCATATATTAAATGAATATTCTACTTTATTTTTCATCGCTGATTATGACATAAATAGATGTTAAATAGAGATAAGACCTTGTTGGATGATTGTCTTAGTCTAAGATAGTTATTCAAATGATTAGCGAATGTTTTGTTTTTCTATAATTAATATAAAATGTATAGAACAATTGATTCATAAGGGAAAATGTGTAAAAGAAATTTTTTCGAGTTCAAGATACGGTTCTATCAATAAAATTTAAAAAACTAAATGAAATCTTTCTATAATCCATAAAAATGACTTGAATGACTTGTAAAAAAAATTTTATCATGTACTAGAGAGAAATGGCACTATGCTCAAGTTCGAGATATTGTCATAGGTCTAGATACTCGAATACTCAAGCAATTGACCTCATCTTTTGGGCACATAACTAGCATGTAAGGGGGCACAGTTCTATCCAAAAAAAGTTTGGAAATTCACTATGTATCATGAAAAACAAGACAAACTTTTAAAGTCAATTTTTTCCACAGTCTGACGACCTTTTATTGCATTGTTTAACAGTGTCAAAGAAACGTTATACAAAACAATTAAAATGTATTTATCTATCTAGTTCAAATCTGTCAAGGGTCTTCTGATAGTTTTCATCATGATGATGAATCAGAGTAAGCGTGGGAGTAAGAATATAAGTAAAAATTGGTATGTAATTATGAAAAAGATACGAATCCTTATTCTCACTCCCTATCTCCCTCAGCTTTGTCAGAATGAGGAAAAAATTGACTTTAAAAGTTTGTCTTGTTTTTCATGATACCAAGTGAATTTCCTAACTTGTTTTGGGTAGAACTGTGCCCCCTTACATGCTAGTTATGTGCCCAAAAGATAAGGTCAATTGCTTGAGTATTCGAGTATCTAGAGCTATGGCAATATCTCGAACTTGAGCATAGTGCCATTTCTCTCTAGTACATGATAGAAGTCTGAAAATTTTAGAGAACAATAAAGGGCTGTGGGGCTATTTTTTCTGTAAGTTTGAAGTCGATCTGTTGAACTGATACTGAATTATGGGTCACACAATGAGATTTGACGGTTTCTAAGAATACCCATCCTTACAGTAAAATGAACCTAACTCAGGACCTAGCTTCACAATAGTTCAATGAATTTTGATGAAATTTTTACCACAAACAGCCAATATGCAGGGCTACAAAATGACGCGTCCCACAGCTCATAGAGCTTTGTTGTTCTGGAGTTATGACGCCCAAAATGGAAATGAACCCCATGCATCATAACTCTCTTGTGACTCAGGATATGGAGGCGCGAGTTTCGCTGCTGGCCTGCATTAATCGAGATCTATATACAGTCAAGTTTTCAGAGCAACAGCATTTGTAGTGGCTGAAATCTGATGCGGGGATACTTTTGGCCAGTACTGTAATTAGTCTCTTTCATACTTGATAATCTACTAGTAATTAATTTATTATATTCCATTTTGGTTTTCAAGATTGACTTTGAAATTTTTTTTTTTTTTTTTTATTATAAAGATTTATTTATGACATATATATTTACACATAATCACTTGAATATTTTTTATTTTAATAATTATGTTCTTGTCGAACGATTATTATTTGATAATTTTTAATAATCCGTATGTAACCACATAAGATGATTTTGTTTCAATTATTATCCTTATTATTATATAAATTTAAACAAGTAAGATACATCTATTAATCAAAACCATATAATAAGTCCACAACCATCTTCTTCAACCACAGCATACGGTTCTTCATTTAGCGGTAAAGAAAGAATATTATTTCGTAGTTGTTCAATGAATAAACAGTGTTTTGTATATGCTAAATCAATATCATAAGGATTTTGACCATAAATACGTCGAAAACAAAAAGAAAAGTCAGAGAGGAATGGTGCTGTCTCAGCAATAATCTTACAATCTGTTGAATCTGGAGGAATATGCATACCATACAAAAGTATACGTAAAGATTTCAACAATGGTAAAATAGAGAGTCGTCGTAAGTCAGTCCAATCGCCGCTTGCAAAACGAAGACATTCATAATGAAGAACTATTTGAATAGATCGAATATTTGTTGAAAGTGAACAACTATTCAATGAATCAATACTGTCGATAAGACTAAGATGATTAAGATTTGGTAAATTCATAGATATATTTCTATTACATCTATATAAATTAAGTTCAACTATTTTATTTGAAGACATTATTTTAGAGAATAAACTAGTAGAAGACGGTACATTGTCTGACATATTCAATTTAACGAGACGAGTACAATGAGTTTTACTTGTTGGGTATGAAGATATAAAAACTTCGATTTCACTAATACATCTATCTGGAACAGATAATTGAAAAAATTCATTGAAAATCCATGGTAATGTATAGAATAGATGTTGACGATTTTTCGATTTCTTATACTAAAAAAAAGTTTTTTTTTAAATTGTAGTTTATTCTTCAATTAACATTGAATTTGTATTGAATGAAAACTTACATAAGTTAAATCTGGAGTTGTAAACGGTTGATTATCAGGCCAACAATCAGAAATAAACGTTGCACTAGCTATTTGACGAAGATTATATTGATTGCCATGTGGGACACTTTTAATAAGATCTGTATGTGATCGATCATCATTTATAATCAAAGCATAATGAACATCAATATGACGCTTATCTGTAAATAATGCTGATTTACTCATTCGAACAAGATCATCACCATTCGCAACGAGAGAAAAATTCATTCGTCTTAATATTGGCATAACACTAGAAGAAGTTAATTGATTAACAAATGTCCATTCTATAACTGAATACCAATTGAATGACTTAACGAAACTAAATGTATGTAAAGATTCCATTCGAGGCAAGAGATGTCTTCTGTCTAAACTATATATTATATTATACATATGACTTAATTTAATGTGTAATTCTTGTAATGTATATGTCAACGGTTGAGTTAACATTATATTCAACAAGTCACATGTCGTACTTAATGTAATTGACAAATAAATTAAAGGTGTTTGGATCGTTTTAAAAGGCCATCGATGTAAGAAAAAAGATGATTCCAGTCCTAAATTAAGTGAACGGAGACCAACCAAATTATTAATAACTTCAGTAACAAATTCAAGTAAATTCCATGATGGATAACATAATTCTTGACTTAAACCAGTCTTAATAAATAAATAAATTTTAGAATAATGTATATGATATTAATTAAGTTGAAATTTCTTTTTATTTATTTAATAAATCTTGACAACAATGAAATAATTTAATCAAATAGATATCTATGAAAATATTTTTACTTTCGAAATCTTTTACAAACAAAAATAAACTAGAAAAGAAAAGTATGTTAAGAAGAAAGGAAATTTTGAATTTATATTTAAAATAATCATAACGAAATACGGATTATAAATTCTCAAACACAATCTAATTAAACTAGTTCGTTCGAAATAGAGAGTTTGATAACTTCTGCCGAAATATTTCTCATAAATATGTTATCGCATAGAAAATGATACGTGCGATCATCGAATATTATCTTCAATGATTCATAGACAGCCTTGCTTTATTATACGTCAACAAGATGACTAGCAACCATCAAGTTATAGTTAATAAAACTATTTTATAGTTATATTTATTATTCCATATATTTTATTAAATTATTATTAAGATAATTTTTGAATTCTACTTACTGTTTTAAAATATTGATTTGATTCAACTGTCAAATGAGTTAATGTACGACCATGTTTTCGTGCAAAATTAAAAACATCAATGAATTCTCGTACACCTTTTATTTTTAATATTCTTAAATTGGGTAAATAAGGAAAACATGTTAGTTGAAGAGGAGATGCATAACAATCAATGACAAGTGATTCAATATCATTATATCGAAGTAACGACAAATATCTTACGAATCGTTTATATCGACTAGATGATAAATTAACATGACGATAAATATTTCTTTCAATTAATAATCTTGTTATACGACTATTGAGATTATTGAAAGACCATAATGTATCCACACTGGATAGATAAGAATATATTTCAATTATTGATAGATCAGCTAAATCATTGAAGAGAGTGATCATATTATTATAAAATAAACTAACAACAAGAAATAAAACGTCATTTTTTATTGTCATTCATATTATAGATATAGCATTGTCGACATTTTTTTTCTTATTTTTCTCTTTAATTATATATCATAGCTGACGGAAACAATTGTTTAATATGTTCTTTGTTTCTAAATGTGGAATGAATATGAACGAATGACTTTTCTCAATATCGATATCATATATGAATAAAGATTTGTTTAATAATAATCAGTAAAATAGACATTATTTATTTCACAAACTCTATCGTTTTGAGAATTAAAATAATTATGTATGAGTAAATATTATTGGAAATATCTTCTACAGACAACAAATGAGAAAATCATATACTATTTAAAGTATTTATCAAAGTAATATAACGATTGAATTAAATTTTTAATGATAAACAATAAGAATAGAAGTGACTTTATTATAATGTTAATTGTTGATTGATAGAATCATTCTTTTTAGAATTTCAAGAGTCATCTTCTCTTTTCTAAATTTACCCGACAAATCTCAACGTTCGAAATATTTCACATTAGTTTACAGTATAAACCAGAGAACGTCGCACGACGTATTTTTGCGTCCTGTCCTACAGGACGATTTTTCTTTCTGTGTGCTGGCTCTTGTCACTCTATTTTTGTAACGGATAAAAACCTTATATGAGGTATGGCTTAGAATATGATAAAATTACATGAAAATCGTTAACAATGTCTCGGTGATAATAAAAATTATTGAACATGCTTCACTAGAAACAAAATGAAGAAAAAAATTGTTAATCGTAAAATGCGAATAAAAAAAAGAGAATACACGAACGAATCATATTCAAAATCTAATCAGCCGAACTAGATATGAATGAGAAAGAATAGATGTTTTATACTGATGGTTCTTGAATTTATCGAACAAAAGAATAAATAATACTATTTATTTAACTTGGTGACGAGTTTGTTCATTGTCGAGTTAATGTCAATCCTGATAAGTTGAACAAGGTTACCCAATGAAACACTGGCCAATTTTAAGATTAGAGATGCGCGAATACAAATACAATTTGTACTCTCTTGCATTCACTTACTGAGGGCTGCGTGAGTACAAGTACAAATTGTACTCTGCCAAGAATATGACCCCCAACCTAGATTTTTAGAATTTGTATGGCAATGTAATGTCAAGCATTGTCATGTACTCGGAAAAAACCTAGAATTTGCAGAATTGATAGTCTCATGTACTATTATGGCACTATCATGTACTCGATTAAAAAAACTGGAATTTGAGATTTTCTATTTACATGTACCGTGGACGTGAGCAGCACTATCCGTGTTGGGTTCAGGCGACTCTTCTCTGGAAGGACACATACATCTGTACCTACGCATACATCCACACCCTACCGATGATCTCATGTTTTTGATTGCATTCATTAGATTTTGGATATGTGATACTCAATCTAATTTATCATTGTTCAATAAGAACTGTTTCGATCTTGAGAGCATTAACCCATTTTATCACATCATAAGCACGTCAAGTAAATAATAAAAAAAATGAATATTGGGCTGCTTCTATGTAGTGATGAAAGACTTGGAAACAGTTAAATGATGATACGCAATCACAAAGAATTCTTTACTTTTTTCTGACACTTATATCTCACCAACAGTATATCCATTTGTGACCCACGTACCAACCTCTGTTATCCACTTTCCATCAAAACTAAAAGCTATCCATGACTCATTAAAAAGTTACCCGTTCAATCGGTTGTAATACGTTGCAGCATATGATGTTAGATAGATACCGATGCCATCTTCTCCATTGGTTCATTGTTTTCACTAATCGCTAATTTTAGGATGTCATCTTTAATAAACAAACAATCTCGTCAATTGAACGAAAAAGAATCTATGTGGTGGTTAATACTGGTGGAGGCGAGCAAGCTCATAGTTGTTAGAGACACTGTTTCGACCACAAATTGACCTCTTTTAACAGTTAAAAAATATTTATAAGTAAAATATAGAAAAACTCAAGCGCGAGAACATTATAATGTAGCAGACCGCAAACAACACTTCATCAACGGCTTTTTAACAACTAATATGACATGAAGAAGATCGTATCTATCGGTGTGGGTATGTGAAATGCAACTTTTATATGTGCAAATATCATTGCTTATATAGCTAACTTACTGGAATGATGATCACGTTCGTTGCTTATCTCATAATCTGCCATGAAACTCAATGAACCTACATTCCAGACATGAACAATATTTTATCTGCTGAATTTGGCAAGTTTAATGTCTGATTTATTCGTGGAATATGTGTTCTTTATATAAAATAGATACAAACAAGTTCTTTGCATAAATATCTTCTTCTGCCTATTGTGATGCATATACAAAAAGAAGCTGTAAGTATCTTTCAATAGAACTTTTTTTTATATGAGCTGTTACGTGTCTTCGTTCTTTTGAAAGACAATTTAATTTTTGACTTTATCAGTTAGAAAAACATTCGAAAACTGCGTATTGACAGTAAAGCGTATGAGCTGTAATACTAAGATTTTGTCGATAGTTCAATAAATGTTTTGTTTGTTTATATTCTGTCGTCAATATAGAATTATTTTCCGCTTTTTATCTGAGAATCAAATGTCACAACTTTTTTTTCTAGGATGTACTTATACACCCGTGCGTATCCTTCTATTAAGCGATAACGTGAACATTATTCTGGCTCTCCTGCGAAAGTCAAAACTTAGATTTCTGATGATATTGTTTCTCATAATATGTGCTTTTTCTTCTTCGAAAAAAAGTCAATATTGGGTAAAAAAATCAACAGTCTATATGTGCTAAAGAATTAAAATGCTGTGCTCAGAACTCGAAGCCGACAGTATTTGAAAGTATTGTGGAGGAAAAAAATTGATAAAACTTATGATTTGTTTCGAGTAAGTTTGAAACAGCTCAGATACACTATTGTTGTACGGACGATGGGTTATAGACATGGATAATGTAGAAATATTTTCCAAAGCAGATAGGGTCGACGCAACGATAAGGCTTTCAGAAGTTCTACACAAAACATCTAGTGCTATGATTTATGTTTATATTTTCCTTTTATCTTGTGATTCATAATTACTGCATTGCTCGTTTAAAGAAATATGTCATAGTTTCAATTGCCTGTTGCTATGGAACTTTCACAATTCTTACTTGTCTTTCAGCATCGGCATGAAGAAGTTCTTGGATCGACTGGATGTTAATAATAGGTTTCTTTGCGTTATGCTCAAATCTGTAATGAGATATTGAGTGTATAGTGAGAATTTGTAACATTTTGTACATCGAAGTAGACATATTGGAAACAATGTTCCTACTGTCGACTTACAATTCGAATGATATTCCTCTGAGAATCATATTTATATGAAGATATTGTTCTACATGCTTTACTCTAGCAGTTAGTCTCGTCAGATAATAGTATTTCATAGCCGGTCAAAAGAGACGTATATTAATTTATATCAGTTTCGGATGTCTCCAGTGTTTTTCTCAAAAGGTACAGTTTTGACTATTAGTTTACAGTTATTGAAAAATTTCATTTTTATTTTTAATAGATTTTGTTCTTGCAATTCTATTTTAGAAAGCGTTGTGGTATCAAAGTCAAAACAAATTTTACGAAAAAAATAACGGATACAACCAACACAAAAAAAAAATTAGTTCACGAAAAATGAAGAAAACAAAAACGAAAAAACTTGAAAAGCTACTCAAAGAAAAAGACAAGAAAATGAAACTTTAATCTGAAGTGCAATTGTTTGAGAAAGAGTTTAGAATTATAAAAGCGACGTATGATACTCAATAGGAAGAGTCAAGGTCTATTGTAAGCAAGATCAATATATGTGCAGCCATCTTTGGAGACTTAACCCGACACTACTTGCTTTAACAATCGTTCCTATTCATGTTTCATTGAAAGTGAAGCTTAACAAAGATTCTTGTATGCTAGAATATGCAATTTTTTTTTCATATAGTTATTATGATTGATTAAAATTAGAAGTAATACAAAGGAAAATTTATTTGAATTTGTGTGGACATGAAAACAGAAAATAATATATAACATTTCTATTCGAATACAAAAAGGAATCAGTTCAAATATATTTCACAGTTAGAATCAATATTAAGAACAAAAACAGTCTCAATCTACAAGAAACATCGATCTTCTCCGTCAAGAGATATAATGATTAAATTTTGTAGTAGCACTATAATAGAATGTCAATGTTGCAACAAGAGATTCGTTAGCGGTTAAAGAGTTACCTCGTGATCACTTCTTCGCTACCAGTTCGTTGAAGCCTTGTCAGGCCACTGCATCGCTTCATCAAAACCCAAATTAATCAGTTTCAGTTTGAAACATTTTTCAGTTTCCTTGCGATTTTGCATCCTGCTGGATTATGCATTAGGTTATTTTTCATTCAGCTGTCAAAAGCAGACCTTCTAATATGTTCATAATGCATCCGACGATCAAAGTAGATAACAGTGCGTAAGGCAAAAATAAAAATACCTGTTCCGTCCTCATAAGTTTCAGTGCTTGTCTAGACGTAAAGAACTATACTCCAAAGAATTTGACAACTTCTATGATCGAACATGATGATCATATGTCGCCGATTTGTATTTGATCTAAACATACATATTCAAATATCATATATTTGTATAAAACAAAAAATATAATAGAGTATAGAAATTTATACAATAAATCGACTTATAAAACTTCACGATCAATCAATCCGAGAAAAATGATACTAAAGACGCATGAAAGATTAGAATTTAATGTACTGTTTCTCGTTGCCTTATTAAGTGTAATTAATTAGTGTCAATAACACTTTTACATCTGAAACTCTAAAGCTCTGATTTTTTAGTTGCATAGGCTTCTTCACTATTTTTCATGTCAATCAATCGTTCATTTGATCCTTTGTTGCTTTAACACGCTCAGCTGTCGCTCAATCACTATTCGACTATAGGATAATGAGAAGTGTTCTTCAGCAAAAGATTGAGACACAATAATTTGATTTAACCTTTTTCGCAGAAAGCAGATGATCTGTATTTTGTTCAGACTATTAATTCCACGAAGGTAACCTCTATGAATGACCAGAAATAATTTAACTAAAAACTTTGGTTGACATAAAAATCGAAAACAAAAGTCAATCGTTGATTGAAACCGTCTGGTAACACGAATAAGTGTTATGATGTACAAATTGAAAATGCAATAAATTTCAGGTGCATATCAAAACATGAGATTTCTTTAACAATTTTGCACCTATTCAATCGTCAGAGCCATTGTATAAAAAAACCTATTTACGCGTGTTCGAATATTCAATAAGTTTGTGAGTGAAACAAAGCTAAGTCATAGACCTACGGAAGTAAATATTCAAGACTTGACGTTATATCAACAAAGAAAATATTAGACAACGTTTCACAAGTAGGTCTCAGGAAACTTGGCTTTTTTTAAAGTCTGAATTGACACTATGGATTATTTTGAGATCATTCATCTTCTAATTAAAGAGTTATCGAAAACTCAGTATGTTGGCGAATGATTTGATTGTGTCGAATACTTGCTCAACTAGACTAGAAACGTTGTGAATTACTGTCTATCAAATTATTGTTGTTATAAATTTCTGAATGATTGATTTAACTGATCATTAAATAGTAAAGCAATATATAAATAAATATATATATTATCTTCCATGAGAATGTTTTCGATTCCAAATTTTTAATTAAATTGAAATCCAATCATTCATTCGTATTCACAAGTAATATTAAATCTACCAGTATATTAACTTCGACTTTTGATGTGATCATAATATTACTTTTTGTCTTTCATTTTATTCCTTTTCTTTTTCAATAGCAAGCAAATGTGCATACGTTCCTTTGTTCTATTCATGTCAAAGGTTGTTCTGTCTGTTCTATAAGATGTTTGAACTTTGTAATCGTATCTTTCTACCTATCCATGGTCATTTCCTATTGTGTTATATTCATATTCAAATCCTTTCTCTGCCATATGTACTAACTCTTTCTTGTATTACTTTTCTTCTTTTTTTTTACTATGTGATTATGTTTTTTTTTCTTATTCTCATCATTAATTTCATTTCCCTCTAAAATTTTAATACTATCGCCTTTAGTGTCCATAATAATAATATAAATCTTGAGTCTATTTCGGTTCAATGAAGCAAGTAATAATCTATATAGTAATTACAAAAGTTTGAAAATAAGACCCATACTGTTTTTTTTTTCATTTTTTGTTTGATATCGTAATCAGAAATACTACCTTTTTTTCAATTACAATTCTTCATTACTTAAAATCGACTGGTATTAGAAATTTCTCTATCAAACTGTATGATTTTCATGTAAAAACAACAAAACTATTAAATCTGTGAACGTCATAAGTAATTGAACACATCTTTTTACCTGTGTTCAATGAGAACTTTTATTTAATCTTCTATTTGAAAGAGTTGTCAATAATGCACACCTTGAATAACATGACGAGAAAATGAAAAGTGAACGTGTCAATAAAATGTTTGATATAGCTTTTCTGCTGATTAGAATATGAAGCAGCACGTTTATAACTCAATAAAAAACTGATGCACTTCAAAATAATTCATCTACCCTTTTTTTATTTAATATTCGATGGGCTGACGCGATGAAGTCAAGTGTCCTCTTATACGTGACCTATCATTCTTCTTTCAAAACGAAACTTTAAAATTTTTCTCCCGTCGGTTAGTGTATTACTATTAATCAAGTAGATTGTTTTATTGTTCTTTCAATTAATAAATATTTATATATAGATCGGCATGCCGAAACAGACACAATCATTGAAACGCATTGATTCGTTGTGTATATATGAGACTTATGAGCAAATGTTCGTTGTTTAGACGACAGCATATATACATATAGAAAGAAGAACGAAAAGAAAAAAAATGAGCTGTAGAAGGTACTGCAATGTTCAACTATTTCCCTTGAATGTTTGCTGTCACAATTCTTTACTTCTTCTTAAAGGTGTGAATAAAAGAGCTTAGTGTAATATACTTAATGAAGCCAAGTAGTTCCATATTTATCTTATTTGTTATTGCGAGTGTCATATCAAATTCAATATCTAATACTGGTAAATTTTTATATTTTAATAAAAATCATTTAGGTTTTTTATCTATTAAGATAAATGTTCTGGTCGATGGCAAGTTAATGATAAGTTAAATATTAAATTTACATTAGATTGGCAAATTCTTCCAGAGATAAATCTAGCAGTCATAGAATTTCGAACAAATCTTGTTGCAAAAGGTTTTTGGTATGCTTTTGGATTTTCATCTTCTCTAGATAAACAAGTATGTATAATTAGAAAAAAAAAAAGAAAGATTTGTATTTTCATATTTTTTAATAAAAAAAAAAAAACACAATAATACTTTATAGATAATCGGACTTGTTTATGCTCTTCGATGGAGTGAAAATGATACCGAACCTTTTTGGGATATCTATAACGTGACAGAATCAAATGTTATTATTATAAAAGAAAATGATACATCTTTAGTTACATTTCAACGTTCATTATCATCGGGTTTATTAACTGTACGACCAAAAATTGATTTAACTTCATTTATTGTTGAACAACAATGTTTATATTTTGTTTACATGCGAGGACTTTTTTCTGGTGATATACCGTTACTACCAGATGAAATTCTTTTCAATCGATCTTTATGTCTTACATGTCAACGTAAATTACATTAAAAGATAATTTTTTTTTTTTTGAAAATTTATTTATTTATTTTTTAATCAAAGGACTTGAATCGATATCAACAAATAGTAATCCAACTATAGAAGATATGGCAACTGATCTGACAATAATTCAGCATACAACAATTGAATCTGATTATGATTATACAACTGAGAATTTAAGATTGTTCGATGAAAATATTTCAACATCGACTTTTTTTCAATCGCCACTATCTAATTCTAGAACAGGTTTGTTATAAATTAGTGACAGGTTTTCTTATGCTAATTATACATGATGATTTACATGAAATATTTGTTTAGAATATAAATTCTTCTGGTTCGGTCGAATTCTCGATCGTTTATGGTCAAACGATTATTTTAATCTTACTTCTCTTTTAAGTCAAAATTTACGTTTAGATCTACAAAATCTGGTTAATATTTTATTTAATATTAATTTTATTGTTCTGAATTTCGATTTTTTTCATATAGTTCTTGTTTTTAATCAATCATAATACATCATACTCTTTTCTTTGTAATCAATTCGAAGTGTATGCACTACAGTAAGTTACTAATCTTTTGAAAAACAAAAGTCTACTTTTTTCTTCATCGTCTCCTTGTGATTACAGATCTGGTTCCATACTTTTTGCAAGTAACATAACTCTTATGTCAAGTCTATCCGAAAATCAAACCATAGATACGATTGAAAAACTAATAAAAACAGTTAACAATACGAAAAATTTTAACCTTAATTTTGATCGAACAGCACATCATATAAAACGAGTTAATGACATATTAGAAATTGATGTTTTATTCGAGAGATTTTCTCGGCCAGTCAATAGTGATCTTTTAAAACAAGCAAAAAGTATGTACTTCTTTCTTTTGTTCTTATTGCTAATCTATAATTCTTTATTTTTTTAATTTTTATTCATTTAGTTGATTCGACATTACATTTACTTCTTGGTTGTATTATTAGCATAAGTTGTTTTATAATATTTATAACAACTATTCTATGTCTCTATGGTTATTATAAATGTCGACGACAAGAATTTCGTCTTTTTACTGAACGACAGACATTAAAATTCAAACATGATACCAATTCGTATACATGGTTAGGACAACAACCATCAATCAGTTCTTCGTCTCCATATCTGATACAGTCAACTTCTATTTGACTTTCTCTTTTTGTTATTCACCTTGAACTATACACAAAAATAATAGTGAAGGATTTTATTCCAAAAAGTAGCTTGTCGTATATATATATACAAATATGATGTCTGTATTCATTTGAATAGAAGTGATGCTCTAAAACCACATATATACACTTTTTTTTTTGAATATGTGTATGTGTATTGAGTCAATAAGTATTACAGATCGGTATTTTTTTTTCTTCGTATGTCGTCCGTACTTAATTGTTGGTTATTCGTGATTATCATCATTTCATACACTTTTTTACCCTCAAGCACAATATATGGTTATATACTTTTTTTGACAATGAAGTATATTAGAATAAGCTTAAATTTCTTTGTCATTTTAAATTTGTGAAAAAAAGGACTTTAGTTGGATTAGCTTCTACAATCAATAGAAAATACGCCGTCAATGCAGTTTTTTTTTTGATAACCTTGATTAGTTGTTGTTCATATATATACATATATCTATGCTTGCCTTTTTTTGTTTTGTTAGCTTCGTTTTACTATTGAAACTGAAGCATATATACATATGTATGTATATATTTATATATACATATATATATATATGTGTGTGTGTGTATGTGTATATATAATACAGTGATCGCTGAAGAATATGATTATATAGACTGTACTGTTATTGTTGTTGTTATAGTAAAAAAACGAAAAGAAAGAAGAAATGACACAGCACGCCAATACGAACAGAATAGACACTCACACATACACAAATACCTTTTTATTATCAACATGGTTGAAGTGGAATGAGGAGTAATTTGAAACCATGTACATATATTCTCGTTCTTTTTTTACTATACCTAATTCGATACACTTTTCAGTGTAAATCTTCTTTGTCTGCAAAATGTATTCATCGCAATAGTAAGCAGTGATGTGACTAAGCCGATTAAAAAACTCTATAGATAAGCATTGGACTTTTATACAAGAAGAAGAACAATCGAAGGTCATTAGAAAGAAAAACGATTTACATATTTGACATCAATGGAAGTGTGAAGAACTTCACTATCATAAATGTTTGGCTATAAAAAAAAAATATGAACAAACAAAACACTTATGTGTATAAAGTGGAAAACGAAGATGTAATAGGAAAAAAACAAGAAAAGGAATAGTATCTTTAAGATAATCATAATTCAACATGCTCATTATTCGAATGATAAGAAGCAGATGCAGTATGTAATTGATATATATTCAATCGTTCGTTTGGCTACTTGATCAGTCAGATCTAATCCCGTCGGAGAGGAACCGTGTATTAACAACTTTCTTTCTCTATATATTTGCTTCTGTTTCACTTTTCTCTCTCCCTGCTGTGCAGGCTTGTGTCGTTTCATTTAAGTTGTAAATACATGCATGTAAGAAAAGATGAAAGAGAAGTATGAGAGAATAGAGAAAGAGAGAGAGAGAGGGAAGAGAAAGATGAGGGGTTATGTGACGAAATCTCTTGACGAGCTGTGCAAGGCAAAACTTAAAAAAAATATACTAGCTTCGTTTTGTCATCGTCATGCAGACAAATCACTTATCCTCGAAGAGAAAAAAAGTGCCCGCGCGTGTCTTACCACAAGCATAATATGATTTTCATACACTATCACATTTAAGTGTGAGTAAAGTAACATAGAATCATAAAACTATCTTTTACTCATCATTCTTTTACTTATTATATTTATGGTGATAGACGAAAGCAAATTATTTTAAGAAAGAAATGTCTTCAACCGTATTTGATCAACGAAATTCTTCTCCTGTTGCTACACGTCGCCCACCAATGTCTAACGAAGATATTGGTTATGGTTCACAACGTAGTGTTAATCGACGAAGTTTAAGTGACAGACTTCGAAGTTTATTTCGGAAAGATTCCTCATCACCTAATCGTGCAGCTGGTAATGATAGACGTTCACGAACAACATCGTCACGTCAAACTTCATTATCACCGGAACCAAATAGATCATCGACTGAAACACCTAATCTTCGAGCACCTACTGTCTATTGGCCATTCGGCAAAAAAAAAGCAAAATTATCAACAACGACAAGTACACCTACAACTAGCAAAAAAAAGACAAAAGATAGTCGAAAGACAAAACAACCTACAGCACCACCTATGGAAATATCAAGTCCAATATATGATCAAGAAAATCGAACATCAATATATAGTCAAAATTTTGATTCTCGACCATCAGAATTTGTACATGGTAGTAATGAAGGATTACAAACATCAATGACTTATGATGGACTAACAAGAATAGGCTATCGTGATTATACAGTGATTGATGAAACTCAACGACCTCAACAAGTAAGATCATCAGCCAATAGATTGTTCAGTTCGTTTGCTCGTATTCTTTTCTCGAAATACTTCCCTTCATTCTTCCCTCAAATTTATGAGTAATTCATATTGCTATTAGAATAATAATAGCAATAACAACAACAATCAGCATCAATCTTTTGTCGACCTAATCTTTCAATATTGATTGCTATCGAATGCCGAATGTGTATGTGTGTGTGTCTTATTTGCACTTTATTTGTCGTTGTCTTTTGAATCTTTTGGATTGGCATTTCAACATGACATTTGTTCGAATAAGCATCTAATGAAAGAAAAGAAGCGAATGAAATTGCCTATATGTTAAAAAACACTTGATAACTATAAATATAGTTGTAATGAAAAAGCTGTTTATTTAGTGCAGATTTCAAAAAGATGTATAAGAATTGAAGAAGAGCTATAAATGAAATAGCTTTCGTTTTTTTCTTCTTCTTATCATTTGTCTATTCCATTTTCTTGACAGAAAAGAAAGATAAAGAGGAAGAAAGGAATCGAAAAAAAATACCCAATCAAGATTATATTTGACTTATTTTTATTATTTTTTCTTTTTGCGATAGGTAATTGTGCCTGATGCCGATGTTTTTATACCTTCAACATATACAAATAATCGAAGTCCTTCACCATCTATGAATCGTCAACGTTTACCAAACACAAATATTGAATATCATTATCAAAATGATAGTTCAATGCCATTAATTTCAATTCCATTTACAGACATTGAAGTTATTCCAACGCCTCAACGTAAACGTAAAGTAGGTGATACTCCACCAATAAATGTTTCACAAATTGTAGTTGAAAAACCTCCTATATTTCCTCAAACATCATCTCGTCCCCAATCAAATATAAGTACAAATCCTACACAGTGGAAAAATACATCCTTATCCACATTAAATCATAGTGAAATGCGTACAACAACATCGTCACCTAGAGATCATGAGACTCCAAAATTAAATGCTCCTTTAATAAGTTTTGGTGGTACACCAAATAAGAAAAAAACTAAACGTACTAAATCACAATCACGTGCTGATGGAATGAGTGGTTCATCATCAACTATTAATAATTTGGTAAAAGTAAATCCAGTACAACCATATCGATCATGGGAAAGTGCATATGGATCATTACCGGATGCTGAAGTTATTTCTGATGATAATTTTACGTCCTACAAACCATCTAAAACTAGTAGTAAGTTTTATTAATTTTTAAAATACTGAATTCTTCATAATTTATTTTCTCTCCTTATAGTAAATAAATATCCAGGGTTAAGTGCTATTCTTCGTCATCATTTACGTCCTGCAGCTGTCTATCGTTTTAATGAACGTCCACCAACAACTACAACAACTACAACAACTCCACAAGGAACACGACGTTTTGATACATCAACCACAACATTAAATGACTATGAGCAAAATGAACCATTGCCACATTCTACAGCAAAAGATACATCAACATCAACTTCAACTATTCAACGTTATGATGGTTACATTCGACCAATGACTCCACAAAATCCATCTATTTCATTAGATATTAGTGTCGTTCATACAGATCATGATGATTTACGTGATGCATCATCGCCATCACCAGTTCAACGACCACGTTATGAGTCTCCTGAACCTCCAGCAACTTATCGAAGTTCAAGAACAATCTATACGCGTGATAGAACTCCTTGTTTTGGTTCAGGTGAAATTCGAACATGGAGTTCACAAGAAAACGGTATGAGTAATAATTGTAATGATTCATATAAAAAGCCATATACATTTGTTCAAGTTGAACGTACAAATGAGAAAAAACAAGATTATTATGATCATCAAATTGTACCATTAGAAAAAAAAGATACTTATGAAGAACATCGATATAGTCCACGATATGTTGAACAAGATCTTTATGAAAAACAACGTCAAATCATGGATAATAATAATCGAGAAATGGAAGAAGAACGATATGAAGTATCATATGTATATGAAAATCAACATCCACAATATTCATATGAAGCAGAAAAAAATTATGATGAAACACAATCGACTGGTCGATATTCAAGTCAGAATAAGAAAAAACAAAATAGAATATATTTTTATTTATATTTATATTTTTTATTTCAATAGATGATAGTCTTGGTATTAAACATTTGATTTCTTCAATTCCTACATTTAAAATGCAATCATCAATGATGTCAGGACGAGACAATATGTATGATCAATCGTCTTGTTCATATATAGATAGTGCATATATACAGGGTAATATATGAAGCAATTTGTAGCAAAAAAAAAATTCCTTTATATTTTTAGAGCCTCTCTTAACAAGGGCTCCTGTTGACGATTTTGAGCAAATTCCATATATGTGTACATTAAAACGTACAGATTCTTATGATGGCCTTGGAATATTAATTTCTACTGATATTCAAACACGTTTACATCATTATATTCGTGAAGTTGAACCAGGATCACCTGGTCACAAAGCTGGTTTACGTAAAAATGATCGTATAATTAGTATTAATGGTATTAATGTTGAGAATGTTGATTTTAGTGATGTTCTCATTCTTATTAAGCAAGGTTTAAATTATGATAATCTTCAATTATCTGTTATTCATGAACTAGAACATATTTGAACGAAGAAAAAGAAGAACTTTTTTTTTTAATCTAAACATTTTTTTTCTTCTTAATGTTCTCAGAGTTTATATCTTGTTCCGTTCTTTTTAATTAATGTATAAATTAAAACAGAAAAGAATCATTTTTTTTTTCTTGATAAAAATTAGAAAATATATTATTCTTTTGAATTAGTAATAGGATGAAAAAAAAAATCAATCGTACATGCTTATTTGATATTTTATTATATTCTATTCGCACGTTATCCAACATCAATAACACATACATGCGTTTATTCGAACATTTTGTTCCTGTTCGAAAATATGTAAATATCTAAATGGTGGTATAGGTTCGTTTTTTTAAAATATCTTTCATACATATAGATCGTGTTTTGAAGGTAAAAGAAAAAAGAAAGAAAGAAGATCCAAAGAACAAGAAGGTAGCAGATGCTCATGTTTGATAACGAGTAAAAGAGAAAAACTAATTGTCATCGTTTACCTTCGAGAGAAACAATCATTGTGTGTGTGTATTGTGGTAGACAGTAGCTTTTGTTGTTGTTCTTCCTGTTGATTTTTGTTTCAATTGATAGCTATAGTGAACAGTGAGAATGACTGTTGTCCTTAAAAATCGTACTATATCAATGATTGTAAGTTATATCTTCATATTAAAATATAAAAGAGACTAGTTTTAAAATTTCTTTTTAATATAGCTGTTGGTTCCTGAGGCTACAGTCTTAGCTCCATCATCATCATCATTATCTATCCTTGAAAAACTCAATCAATCAGATATGGATCAATCATTTTCAATTACGACATATGATCCATCATCAAACATTGATATTACTTCTTCAATTCCAGTTTATCATGGATCAATTGTTCGTATTGAACAACATAATAATGATCAAAATGTATCTGATTTAATTGTTCGTGTACCAAATTTTCAACGTTTCTTACTTCCACTAAATAATACTGATAATAAACAACAAACTCGAATTAAACGACGTGCTCCTATATGTCCTATTCTTAGTAGTTCAAGTCAACGAAATAATCCTAAATCATCCAATACAAATATTACAGATAATTTTAATAAGCTAAGTCTAAATCAATCATCAGTAGCAAGTACAAGTCGTTTTGCTACTGGTTTACGTAGTTTAAGTCGAGTATTTACTCATAGTTGTAAATCGAAACGATCATCTAGTATGAATGACATACATTTTCTTCCAGCTCTTCCCGATGTTGAAGTAATGACAGAACAAGTTGAAATACCAATAACATCAAGAAAAACTTCAAAACATGAAAATTTAACATCAACTATACCAAAATTAACTACACCAAAACTTTTATTTATTAAGCGAAAACATTTTAAAATAAAAAATAAACCAGCATCATCAACAATGCCAATTGATACAAAAATTAATCTGGAAAATAATCGAATTAATTTGACACCAACATCAACAATAATAACAACACAATATGTTGATGTTAAAAAAAATAATTCAACAAAAATAACATCATTTTGTCAACCTTTTATCGAAAAAAATTATTTAAATCAACAAATAAATACCATAGAAAGAGAGAACGATCAAGAACAACAAAATAAATCAATCAAATTTAACTATGAAGGTATATTTAACTAATGAGAACTTTGAAAAAAAAAAACTATAACTTTCATCCTAATTGCAGATCAACAATTTACAACAATTTCTCGACTCATTTCTGATATACCCATATCATCTATCGATGCTGATTCATTATCAACTCATCGTTATAGTACAATTTCTGCCGTGGTATCTAATAATCAAAATTCTATCATAGATAATAATGCGAAAGATGTATCATTATCTGAACAAGCATCAACAATTATTCTTTCACCATCAACTGAAATGTCATATAATATTGATAATAAAGCAACAACATCAATTAGTCATAATAAGTCACCAAAAATTCATCGACCATTTCGTATACAAACAAGTACTCTACAACCTGATATAAGTGTTATTCGTATAGGTACAACTGATTTAACAACTGAAATAGGTCGTCTTTTACCTGGAGAAAAATTTTCGAATGAACAAATTGATTCAACAACAAAGAATCAGTTAGATATTGAACAAAAACAAAATAATGATAATCAAATAAAACAAGATCGATATAGTGTTATTCAAACAAACGAAGAAACATTTGCTGAGTGTTATGATGTTACATATCAAATTGATCCACAATTTGAAAATGAAAAAGATCAAATTACAAGTAAAAATTATTAAAAACTATTTTATTTAATTATAATTTTTCTTCTCTATTAGATCAATCATTTGTTCCAATTAAAATTAATCTTGATCCATTTGAATATCAAGATTTAACATCAACATTAACAACATGGTTACCATTTATAAGTCAAAATGAATATGAACAAATTGAACATGATAATAATGTTCATCAAAATAATCGAAAATGTCAACAAATCAAAAAAAGAAATCATAGTTTTGAACATTTAGAAATAATTCCAAAAGAACAAAAAATATTAATAAATAATAGTCGACAAATTAAATCTCGTTCTGTTGATGATCTATCACGAACAAGTAATGATCAAACATCGAGTATGAAATATAATATCATTGCTTTTTTCTTTTTTTTTTTCTTTTTTTGTTATCTTAATCTATCGTTTTAGCATATCAATTTGAATCGATTTCTTCTTCGTCATCTTCAGAAATTTCTTCTCGACATTCTACACTTCAACGATCAAATTCTCATAATGATTTTGGTATTTATATTAGTACAGATAAAGAAACACGTCGTGAACATTTTATTTGTCAAGTTGAACAATTATCTCCAGGTGAACATGCTGAATTAAAAGAAAATGATCGAATTTTGTGCATTAATGGTACACCAGTTATCAATGAAGAATATACTGTTGTTTTAGAACTTATAAATCATGGTTTACAAACAGATACATTAAATTTTGATGTTATTACAAATGATGTTTATGAAGAGTTTAAATCACAAATTGACCAACTTTATCAATGAATAATAATAATAATAATAAATGTTAACGACTTCGAACAAACTATTGACATACACATGTCATTGGCATACGCTTAAAACATACTCTAGGCTTTCTCCCTCTATATATATATATATATTTATAATAGAAAATGAATATATAATTAAAATTTGAGTTTCTTCTATTTATCCTTGATACAAAAATCAACAAATGGCAAAAGAAAAAAAAAGTACAAGGAATGTGTTATCTAATTTCTATTGAAATTTGACTAGACCTGATCATTTTTTTTCTTTCAAATATGAATGATTGCTTGTCGAACATTGAGTAAAAGAAAAAAAAAACATGACTACATCCTGATGCCGGACATTTTTGTGAGCAATTAAGAAAAAATGCCCGCATAGTGGAATCGATGATGAGAGATAAAAATGGTCGCATTGTAGAATCAAAACAAGATTTATAATGTGGAAAACAAAATTATTAATGAAACATAATTGAATATTTTATCTTTACTAGGCTTATAGTCAAGATTATCCTTGCCATTAGTATCGAATACTTTGATATATCGATAACAAAAAAAGAAACAGAATCTCTTTTGATAAATATTAAGATTCAAAAAGATCATCTAAGAATTCTTGCTTTATTTGAATCAAAATGCTTTCATTTGCACTAATGTGACTCTTCTAGAACGTGCCGAATGTTGTTGAGATTGATCTTGCTCAACCGGAACCATTGTTGATTCGTCAGATACCAGTATATATCTTATCCATGGTGATCAGACAATACGCCACGGACATGTGGGTGCTGATGTAAGTGAGGATCTTTTTGTGTATCCTCATCCAGACCCACATCCACCCTGGATGCTCATTTAGGATACAATAAGCCCCACACGTCAAAAATTGATCTTGACCTAATTATATTCAAATTGCATAGAATTTTTAGGCTATGTTGGGCGTGTAGGGAAAAAGCTACAAAAAAATTCTCACAAAATGGGACTCTAATTATTAAAGTACTCTTTTATATAACAGTAACAAAGCTTAATTTGAGAAAAAAAAGGCTGTGCAATGCCTTGCATCTCGACATGATCTTTCAAGCTAAAAAACCAATTGACTACAATAAAGTTCTTTCGAGCATTTTGGAATGCACGATCAAAAAAAAATATAAACAGAAAAAGAACTGACAGAGATTTTTCATTTTATCTGAGAAAACCATAGTTTTCAAGCAGAAAATGACGGAAGTTTTTGTGAAAAACGGGTGCTTTTGACAAAAGTTGACTTTTTGTAGTCAATTGGTTTTTTAGCTTGAAAGATCATGTCGAGATGCAAGGCATTGCACAGCCTTTTTTTTTCCAAATTAAGCTTTGTTACTGTTATATAAAAGAGTACTTTAATAATTAGAGTCCCATTTTGTGAGAATTTTTTTGTAGCTTTTTCCCTACACGCCCAACATANAACCCCCCTTCCACTCTTCATACCCACGCCCATATTGGCACCCACACCCCACACTCCCCCACACCCACACCCCCACCCACACACACCCCCCCCCTCCACCCACACCCACACACCCACACCCACACACCCACACCCACCCACACCCAATCCGAAAATACTTGTGTGTCAGCAGAGGAAATCTTTGGTTATGGATAGTGAAAATTGCCGACCGCCTTCGAGGAATATGTTCCACTTGGTTGAATTAAATTCGGAGTACTACTCAATGAGCTCTATCTAATGGTATAATCATATACTTGATAGTGCAAAGTAGACTGATAAAATCTAAAAATACTAGTGTATTTGCGAAGTAATCTCTGATTGTGGACAATACAAGCAGCCAAGGCTCTTCCAGGATGATGTTCCAGTTGTTGCACTTCTGTTTCAAGTGCAACTCGATGAGCTCTATCTCATAATATAGTCAGAAGGTATATAGGCGACCTTGCACTCTCTAGATCCCAAAGTTTCTAGCATGCGACCGCAGTAATCGATGTTCGATAGCAGTAAAAGCAGCGAAGATTCTTCTAAAATTATGCTTTTGTTGTTGTACCCATTTTCCAAGCACAAATCGATGTGTTTTATGTAAAGGTGCATTCACTTTGTATGTTTCCCAAAGTACGTCTCTGAAGATTTAAAAATAATATGGTGTCAGTGCAGAAAGATTTCGTTGGAGTGTGTGAAACCGGAGAAAATTTTCCGAGGAAGACATTCCAGATGGTCTATTCGTTTTTGAAGTAACACTGAACGACCTCAAAGAAATATTATAACCAGCTTTGGGATAGCTGTAACCACTCGTAGAAAAGCAGAAATATCTCTATATCCGTAGAGAATACTTGGAGTGTACATGGTGAAAGTGGCAGGTTTCTTCAAGCGATATGTTGAAGATGTTTCATTTATGGGCTTCGGCGAGCTCATACAGCTGTATACGTTGGTTTATTGAGCCGTTTAATATTGCGAACTGCGTACGCAGAAATCTCAAACATGGACCTCATAATAGATGACTTTGCTGCGGATACAGTGAAATCAGCTAATATTTGTCAAAGAAGATGTTTGTAGATGTTCCAATCGTGTTCAAAGGAATGTTTAATAGGCTCCATGGTATCGTATATTGCGATGGTCGACACCACAATCTATGCTGTAGATAATGTGCGAAAAAGTTTTAAAAAGATGCGTCCTATAGTATATAACGGTGGTATTGATATAGTAAAATTAGCCGATATTCGTTTAGAAGCACGTTCCAAATGTTCCATTCGTGTCCTAGATACAACTTGACATGCCCTATCAAATGTTGTATTCATTTTTTCGATAGATTAAACTACCTTATCGAAGTCTTTTGTATTGTGGAAGCCAACCGAATAGATCAATGAATTATTTTCTTATCAGGAAAAATTCGTTGAGATCTATTCTAATTTTGTCGTTTCTCATAGATGCAGCAGCTCTTCGAGTTCAAGTAGTCATACTTCTGTGAAAATAGAAGTCATATGGAGTGCAACTGATTTTAACGTGTTTGTCTGGTTACTTAGTAAACTCGAAATGTTACGTTATTTTATTAATGCAATTAACTTGAACAAATTAAAAAGAACCTCTATCAATCAATTTAGCAAGTATGTGTATATGCTCATAAATCATTTATGAAACCGTCTTTCGATGGAGTTAAAATGATCTCACTAACAAACGTGCTGACGAAAGATTCTATTCAGGCGTCTAACTCTGATTCAGTTCATTCATAAGTCGTTCAATAGAGTATAGTGAGGTGTGAAAAGAATGTTCTCCTCATGAGATGTTGATTTTTCAAAAAACTTGATATCCTTCAATTTCTTCGCAGGTTATTAATGATTTTGAAAATTGGATTCTTGTTGAACGGAAAAATCTTCAGATCCGAGTTGTTCAGGACATTCTAGTTACAAGCAAGCCTATCTGTGAATAGAATTTCAACTCCAAATACCTTCATTTCAGTTTTGGTAGATGCTATACTCTAGGCTAAAACTTCAGCAAAATGACTATAACGCTTCGAGAAAGGGTTACTGACCAATAATATTTTTAAATTTTGATCATCTCTCTATACTCTACCGAATGATGTATGAATAAAGTAAGTCGGAGTTAAATACCTGGGCAAAATCCCTAGTGAGTGAACATACAACAAACATGAAATGTCTGCCTTCTCCGTTTCTCTAGTTTGTGGGAACTTTTTATATCAAAATGTTTAAAAGTCTAAAATAGAAGATATTATTATTACTTACGTGGATGAACCAACCGTGAGATAGCGTGGAATGTCGTGAATGTTGAGACTGACCTCGCTTGACCTTTTTGTTTTTGGATCTTCAATTATTGGATGAATAGTATCCACGAAAAGAAATGGTGGCTGGCCATGAACAAAAGTAGCTGGTTGCACAGTTACTTTTTCATTACACTGCCAACCTTCACTATAATATCCATTTTCAATATGAATAATAGTGTATATTATTGAACTCACGTGTATTCCATGGTATTTGAATCGACATTGATTATCTGTATTCTACATCGCTTATAACGAAGACGGAATGCGTCTTTATATGTAATATCTCCTAATTTTTTGACAAAGACAGTACAAGGAACAGTATCTTCATATTCGAATTTTGAAATGGAAATTTCCCAACACCTAAATTCCAAGAAAATAATTGCAACATTGTATATTGAATTTAAATGCAATAGTGCAGCAGTAGATGAATTGTTATATGGCAAAAAAAACATAATAATCACCTCCTCATGTAAGTAAGACATAGTCACTCATGAAAAGCAAAAAGATTAGTTTGTAGGCTTCAATAAAAAAATTCAATGACGGATCTTGAAACCCATGCTTGAAACAACTGAAGTCAAGCAACTATGCTAACTCATTAACTCAACATTTTATATAGTGATCGTATTAATTACTTACTCGACACCTATATCAGTAGTTTTAATAGTACGTTCACGTTGTGGACATGTATGACGGGCACAAAAACTTTTAGCTTGATGAAGTTGAAGAGGATTTTTTATGAAACGTATTGCGTTTGTGTCAAGCGATCCATAAATGTCATTTGTATTAGCACCTTCATGATTAAGGAGACCGTGAGTGGTTAGCCAGTGTAATCTGGCCTGGTCCCATCCGTCCGATTCGACCAAAACGAAAGTCTTTCGAAGTGAACTGAATGGTTCGTTTAGAATATTTAAGATTATATCCCTGATGCTTCGCTCTGTTCGAAAGATAAAGTAAAGAGCAAAAAGTGAAGAATCGATACTACAGGTATTTGTAACTGAATATGTATGACCTAAAAATATTTAATGTCTTTTAGAGGTTAACAGACAGCAAAAATGAATTTATACCTTCGAATATGGTTTTCTTGATGCCAAAAGCAGGCCATGTAAGAGAACATTGTTGAATCTCGACGATCCGACAAAGTCGAGGTTCAGGTAATGAATTGAGTGGGTCAAAAGCTTTAGATAATCCAAATAGTCGTAAACGCATACTCTCTTCAGTATCTAATATAAAAAGTATACATATAAATATCAATGGAAATGAGGGATCTTTTAACTAAATACCATTTTTTAACTAATGTTTTTGGTTTTCATTTTGACCGTTAAAATTCTCTTTCTCTATGTTTTCAGCTTTTGGTGCATGTTTTGCTTCTTCTGAAGTTGATAAGGCGTTGGAGAAGTTATCAAATTTTATACATGAAAATATATTAGCTGGAGAAATCGTTGAGTCAGAAATTGGAATCTCTTGTTCATTCCTTAAATGAATTCCATGGTCTGAAGAATCATATTTCAGAAAAGAGTTTACACACTTTAATGATGACAAATCCGGTGAACTTTGCAATGACTTAACATCAGATATGTTAATGAAAGCATGGTTTGTCTTGTGCTTTAATTCACTAGAAATCAAAGACGGCTTATTAGAAAAATTAGTTATAGGTTTCGGACTGATTGGTTTCGAGACAAGTCGTTTCAGGTTATATTTATCGACTCGGCGACAATACGTATTTCGTAGTTTCTTTTGAGCCCTCTTCTTCGCCCAAGGCTCCTCTACATTCATATCTTTAGGTTTTCCTTTTCGATTTTTTACATTCTGACAAACTCCAAATTTATCTGCTTTTAGTTGAACCTGAACACTTCGATAAAGAGATACAATCGCCTCTGCCGGTCGCAGGTTTGCCCTTTTTTCAAATACAGAATCCTTTAAGATGTCAAAATAGGGTGTGGGGGTGGGTGTGTGGGTACAGGTAGTGGGTGAGAGTGAGGTTGAGGAGAATATTAACACCCACACCCACACCCGTCTTCATCTCCTCTTTTCAAATAGGTTGCATATCGTGTGTTACAACTATTCTATAGAGTTTTGATCTTTGACAAGCCATATATTAACATGTCGAATTATTAAAGTTTAATCTGAAATTCGTTGCTGATAGATAGTTTTCATAATAGTTCTCTTTACAAGACAATAGATTATTGAAATATTTATATTTGTTTTGTTGTTTAGATTAATTGGTGGATATTTATTAAGTTCGTTGAATAATTTTGATTTACGTTTTTGTGTAAATACTGGTGAAGATGAGTTATGTGCATTTGTATTGACAATAATTAAAAGTAAAAAATATGATAAACTTATTCAATCAACATGGATTACCCAACTACATCAGAAATATCCAAATGTTGATCAAGTAAAGATCTCAAAAAAACAAAAAAAAATTCTTATTTTGTACTTTTTAATTTTAATTTAGAAGTTTTTTGAACTAAATGAATGTCATCCATGGATTTATGATCGATATTCTGTTCGTATACAATTATTTATTGATTTAATTATTAGAAACTGATAATGCATTTTTTATTGGAAATAAATTAAAGAAAAATATTATTGAGAGTCTTATCAAACGAGGTTTTTATTATAATAATCAGAGAAAAAAATAGAACGAAATGTATATCTTCTTTATTCTTTTTTTATATAGGTTGTCATGCTTTATTAGATGAAAGAAATCCTTTATTACAGCAATATTATCTAAGACTTGGCTTTGTTGATATACCAAATATGGAACAGAACGATCGCATAATTCTTGTTGGAAAACAATTTTAATATCTTCTTTTGTCTTTTCTTTTTTTTTACATTTTTTTTCTTCACGAATTCATTCAATGAACAAAAAGAAAATATTTCAAGCGTATTTCGATAATGATCAATTTTGCATTAATTTAAATTTCAGGAAGAGTTATTCTTATTTTCATAGATTTCTTTATTCTCATTTACGAACAACTACATATCAAGGGGAACACCTGCTATAGGAATACCCTAGTTATTAATGAGAATGCCTCTTTGATTTTTTTTTTCGTCTTGAAACTTATTTATTAATTTATAAATTAGTGTATTTTAGTTTATTACTTAACCTATGAAGAATAAATTCGTCATTATGCAAGAGTAAAAATACTTAACTGTTTTACTGATGTAAATCCAACATTGACTCTGACTCAGCGCTCTTTAGTACAAACCTCCATTTTCGCGGCTCCTAGTCATATGCATTTAAAAAATACACTCGTTTGAATTATTTTCTCATTAAAATCATTTTTTAGGAGATTTTCGAAGATGCTTAAAACTTAAAAACGATATGAAAATCTATACATTAATTGACGTCATATTATCAAAAGATGTCGTTACTAATATACCACCATGCCATATAAAAAGAACGTTCTATTGAAACCAATCATAGCGCTTGACTCAATTTCCTCCATTTTCCATGTTTTTTTTCTGATCCATTCTTTCAAAAAAGAAAACAATTGTAAACATCCACATAGCAATCCTATTTAAAGCTCTTCTTTCTACTATCTATTGATCATGGCTGAAGCTCTTAGTGATGATGTCGAATCTAATACCAATGCTTCAGTGTCTGTTCAAGTCAATTATCTAGGTCCAAGACTTGATGTTCAATATCCATTAAATGTCCAGTATTGTGGCGGTCAGTTTCTTCTTCTTTCGATTCTAATGAATTACTTACTCGTTCAATATATATCCTACAGAATGTTCTCTGCCACTTGAATATTGCGAATATGGTCCCGGTAATAAATATAAAAATCTTGAGTTATTTTTCGAGTTTATTTTTTTTTTAAGATCCTGAACGATGTCGTGAATGGCTCGAACGAACACTACCTGATTTATTAAATCAAATGCAATCTTCAAGTTCTGGTGATGATAAAAGTGCTGAGAAAAAAAGACAAACTCGTGGTGGTAAAGGCATGCCAAAAGGAAAGAAAAAAAGTGAAGCTCAAAGAATTGTACTTAATAAACAACAAAGAAAAGGAAATAAATATGTTACTATTGTTCAAGGTCTTGCATCAAATGGTACGAAAAAAAATCAACGGAAATTTATTCATTACATTTTCAATGATTATTTGTGTCTTTTCTAGAAGTTGATATGGAATTAGCACGAAAATTTTTTGCTCAAAAATTTTCATGTGGTTGTTCGAAATCAGGTGATGATGAATTAACTATACAAGGTGATGTTGTTAGTGAACTTATCGATTTATTACCTGAAAAATGGAATCAAGTATTTTCTTTATTTTTTTGTGTATTTAATTTATTAAAAATTTCTTTTTGTTTATTTAGATTAATCCTGACCTAATTGAAGATAAATCTTGAATATAAATCTATGTGTTTTTGTTGTACGATGAGGAAAAAAATCTTTGTTATTATTTATTTTATTTTGCTTGTCGTGCAACATTGTACACATCTTTCTCATTTGATTTTAGATTTCTCTTGCATCCATCGCCGCTTTCTTTTTAATTATTAGACAAAAAAACCAATGGCTAAAAGCAAAAACCATACCAATCATAATCAGAGTATAAAAATTGAAAATTTCTAAAAATTCTATTCAATATTATTTTTTTTTTAACTAGACCGAAAGGATCATCGTAATGGAATTAAGCGACCACAATCGCAACGATTTCCATCATTAAGTGGAGTATGTCAAATAGGAAGAAAAAAAAAGATTTAATATTTTTCTTATATTGTAATTTAAGGTTGATCCAAAATATGTTCGTAATTTAAAATTTACTAAACATCATAATCATGTTGCACGTAAAAATTTACTTAAAGCACGAAAAGCTAAATTAGCCAGTGGTGACACTTCATCAGGTAAAGTTGTTAAACGAATTACTCGTCAAACTGAACCAACAAAAACAACATGGTCAATTAAATCATTATTAAACAATATATCATCATATTTTACTGGTGAAACAACAAAACCCGCAACACGAAAACGTACACATACAAAAAAGAAATCAACCAAATCAACTAAATCAACAACAACAGCTGTTAAGAAATAAATTTTTTCAGTTGTTTTTGATTTTGTGTTGTATGGACATATCATGAATTTAATGATACTGTTAAAACACAATGAAGCAAAAGAAAAGAAATAAAAAAAAACCATCTATAAGAATATCGGGATTTTAGTTTTTTTTTGTTTTAAGTCGATTTGTAGATAAAATATGAATATTGAGACATACACAAGAAGAACTAGTTGTTCAATATGTTCGCGTCTTTGTAAGTTATAGTTTAGAATGACGGAAAAAGGACAAAGTAAATCCTTTTTTTAGCGTTGAACAAAGAAAATGCAAATCAAAATCTTTGTGAGACATATTTACTTCGATTTTTAATTGAATTACAAGAAAAACTTGATAATCAAAATAGAATAAATGAACATTTTTCTAATTCAATTTTTGATGATGAAGATAATATTAATCAAACATCATGTAATGGTTTAACATTGATGCATGTTAATGTTCTTGGTGGTGAGTCAGCATGGTGTTTATCACTATTCAATCGATCAATAGATATTTTTTGTTCTACAAATGTTTTACCTTGCATGATATACCAATAGAATATTTCAATATTTTGAGAAAAAAAAAAACTTCTTTCATTCTATTTGTTGAATTAAATTAGCTCGAGGTGATTCATCTGTAAATGAATCTGAAGAAGAAAATAATATGTTCGTTCCACCATATGAAGAATCAATAGCATTGCATATTTGTGAAATTCTTTTGAAACGTGGTGCTTCACCGAATGGAAATGCTATTTATGAAATGCGCCCATTACATATTACTATTCGAAGACAATGGATACAAATTAGTAGACTTCTGCTGGAAGCAGGTACTTTAAATATATACAACAAATAATAGGGTGATCGAAAAGTCATCCGGCAATCTTTGTTTACAAATCAATTTTAATAGAAACAAGGGAGGAGATTGCGGTTTTCAGTGTTAAGAAGAAGTTGTGTCACTTTATGGTTACATATATATGATTGAACAATGTTGATTGTTGATAATCGTTTTGTCAGCAAGTGAGCGTCAGAAAAATGTTGATAACTTTATGAAGATGAGACCAGAATTCTCAATTACAAAGGAATTGAGAGAAGGAGACTTTGCTCCCATTAAAATGATGGATTTTCTAGAAAATTTGTGAATATTTTCGGTCAATTTTTTACAGCTTCATGATAACTTTTGATAGTAGTCGGATTTTTGAATCACCATTCGCCTTTTATGTGGCAGAAAGTAAAATAAAAATAAGCAGACAGTGCCGTCAGGAGGTAAGTAGGATTCCGTGGTGGCAGGCCGTCTATTGTAGGAGAAGCAAATCATGATGAGTTTCGTTCTTCGCACCGCTTCCTTTCCAGTCACCACTTCTAACACTGCGAGAATGAAAACATTTTCTACCGAGTTTTCAGCCCTTATCATCTCTAGAAAATATTGACAGCTCTGAATGATACTGAAGTTTAATTCTAAGAAATGCACTACATTGGTATGCTCACGATTAGGGAACTGCAAAGTGGTCCCGGTCAGTTTTTATGCAATATATTTCCACGTTTATTATTTTGACATGATTTAAGATCTGTAAATCAGATATTTTTATTTTGCTATTTCTATAAAAGTCTTTACTGATTACGAGTCTGTTTGCAAGAATCTGAGTTTTCCAATTGCACAGGTTTTTGAATACATATAAAACAACCAACACAACACTATATATGTAACCATAAAG